CAATCTGCCAATCATAGGGCGCCCTTCGCTGAGCTCCGAGCAAGTTCAGAGCCTCGGGTTACTATGGAGAGTGGTGGTAGGAGCGGGAGCGCAGTGTCAAACAGACAAAATTTAAGGATGGAGTGACCGTGAATAGTGGGCAAGGGACTTTTTGCACCCCTCTAGATGTTACGCTGCCCAAAGCAAATGCCTTATTTGCCTCACGGTAAATACTTCCCTGGGTAGGTATAGACATTTTTCCTTTCTGGGGGTGGTTAGAATCAGCTTAAAATAGAATAGGGATGGGAGCAGCTTTAAGTTTCGTTACGATTTGGCTGTACTTTTGCTTTAAAGGACACGCTCACCTTTTGCACCATGTCACATGTTACTCATATTTAGGTTGCAAATGCCTCCCCTCCCACCCTCAAATTGCCCCCTCTTCCCTGTACCAGTGGATGGTGAGTAGTTCTTTGCCCACACAGCCATGTCATTCATTCACAGCGTACTGTGAATGAACTATGATTACCATCTGCCACTGCAGCAGGACGGACTTATAGTTCCCAAGGGACAACGAGTGCAGTAATCGGTGCACTCAGTCCATTGAACCTTCCAGCAGCTTTCTTAACTGACAGGTCCATACAGAGGTTTGGGCTGAGAGCTGAAGGAAGTGTTTGGAGGAGCCCCACATTACACCTGAGATCCAGTGATCGTGGGTGCAATGCTTTGCTTTTGCTTTTTTCAAAGGTGAACCTTGCCTTTGTCTTAGAGCAGATGTCCCATGGTACGAATTTAAAGCTGGCCATAGATGGATCGAAGTTCAGCCGGTTCAGCAGACACTGAAAGCATTTCGCTCCATTTATGGCCGTTCCCGTTCATCAGAAGTCTATCTTAAGATCCACTTTTGTCAAATGGGCTTGTTGGAAAATTCTTCTCAATTGGTGGCGTCTCTCAATTGGTGGCGTCTCTCAATTGGTGGCGTCTCTCAATTGGTGGCGTCTCTCAATTGGTGGCGGCAGCCGCTGGTGTATTCTGACAGTGGAGGACTCCCAGTGTTATAATACAGTGGCTCAGTGGGTAGGATTTCTCTATCCCCCTCACTTGTGTGGAATCCATTAGTTTTTGGGGGGTTTTTTATCAGCAGTTTTTTATGGCTGAAAAGTAAATCATGAGTAGTCTGTGGGCAGCTTTACCATTCATATAGTTGCAAGTGGGGGGGGGGGGGGGGGGGGGATTAGTCCCAAAGTTAAACCTGTTATTTTTATTTTGTTCAGATTGAAAACCAAACAGCTGCAAATTTACATTCATGATGGTGTGGGCTTTTGTTTGACCGGTTAGCCTACTTTCACACTGATCCATTTTTCGGAAGAAAAATCTGTGACCATGTATTCCTGTGGAACGCTTCACGTTGATCCGGTGCGTTTTTCAAAGTCTCGCTTGCTTCATTTTTGGTGCAGGTTTTGTAGCACACCAAAAACGCACCTCCCCATTTGAAATAAAAGGAAAATGCAGCCAAAGCCTTGTGTTTTTTTTCGGTGCGGTTTTTGAGTCGCATGATCTTTTACAAAAACAGCACTGAAAACGCAGAAAAAAACGCAGATCTGTGTGAATGTAGTCTTCATGATTCGTGGTAAATTCAGCTGCATTTGATTGGTCATGTTTTGTTGCTTATTTAAGCAGCTTCCTAAGCGGTCCGTCAAATCACTGGCTCAGCCGCTGTATTGGACTTCTGCTAGTTCTAGGCCGCTGTGTTCCATATCGAAGGTAATCATTTTATGTTCACTAATATGGTCACCACCTCCAGAGAATTCCAAAACAAGACAAATGCCCAAGTTACAATCCCATACTGGTGCTAAAATGCGTTCTCTTTAGTCATGGGTGGTTGTCTGAGAGCAATAGGCGTTGAGACCTCTGCCCATCCTCCATCTCCCAGGAATTACAGAACCTGTTACCACCTTCTCTGATTCAGCCTTTGGGTGGATAAATATTCCTATTCCCTTTTTTAGGAAAGGGAATGGTGCTAACGCAGGTTTCTCCTCTTGTTGCAAACATTTTGGAAGGCCAGAAGCATATGGTATTGCTCACACACAACCAGTTTGTGGATGTTCCCCATGTCTACTATACAGCCCCGAGGCTGAGAAGTTTGTCCTTTTAGAAACCTTTGTACATAAACCTATAATTACAACTTTTAAGATTACAGTAGACACGAGGGCTAACGATTACACAGTGATCTGCTTGCAGCCGTGTCTTTTTAAGTGTACATGGTGGCTTGAGCACCTCTCCAGCTCTGGTCCAATACACGGTATTCTGGTTGCAGAACACTTGTATGGTGGTGAGACTTGCTTCATGGGAAGACCTTATGTAGCAGATGCAGTGTTGCCTTTTACTATATTTTCCCACAAATCCATTACAACAGTTGGCTCACTCTGATCTGGAAGCAAAGTAATTACACAGTACCAGCTTAATTACTAGGCACAGTTGATGGGCAACCTCTGTCAGTGGGTGGAATAGCCTGTTACCTGGAACACTAAACTCCCGAGGCCCTGTTTGTCTCTGCATAAAAAATAAAACACTCGCAGAGCCTGTAAATTCCCAGAACTTCACTGATAATGCTCTGCCAGTGTTCTCATCAGAAGTATATTTGCACAATTTAGGGTAATGCTGCTTTTGTTGCTTAACACAGTGCTTCCCATACTGCGGTTAGTTGATCTTTGCTTTATGCATGCCAGCAGTTTTTTTTGTCTTAAAACAAAGTCTGGCAGATATGTAAAACTGCCTTTCAGTTATATATCCCTTCAAATATTATTTTTGACTTCAGCTAGTGTAACTCCATGTAGTCTCTTAATATTGGGTTTGGCACATGCCTGCTGAGAGTTGAATTTGGGCCAGTGGTGGCTTCTCTCTAAGCTGCTATGCAGGAGATGGAGGTAACTAGGTTGGCGTTGGGGGTGGGAGAGATCTTAGGGTGGACGTTGGAGTGGGGGAAATCTTTGGGTTGACGTTGGGGCTGGAGAGATCTTTGGGTTGACATTGGAGCTGGAGAGATCTTTGGGTTTGGCATTGGAGCTGGAGAGATCTTTGGGTTTGACATTGGGGCTGGAGAGATCTTTGGGTTGACATTGGAGCTGGAGAGATCTTTGGGTTGGCATTGGGGCTGGAGAGATCTTTGGGTTTGGCATTGGGGCTGGAGAGATCTTTGGGTGGACATTGGGGCTGGAGAGATCTTTGGGTTGACATTGGGGCTGGAGAAATCTTTGGGTTGACATTGGGGCTGGAGAGATCTTTGGGTTGACATTGGGGCTGGAGAGATCTTTGGGTTGACATTGGGGCTGGAGAGATCTTTGGGTTGACATTGGGGCTGGAGAGATCTTTGGGTTGACATTGGGGCTGGAGAGATCTTTGGGTTGACATTGGGGCTGGAGAGATCTTTGGGTTGACATTGGGGCTGGAGAGATCTTTGGGTTGACATTGGGGCTGGAGAGATCTTTGGGTTGACATTGGGGCTGGAGAGATCTTTGGGTTGACATTGGGGCTGGAGAGATCTTTGGGTTGACATTGGGGCTGGAGAGATCTTTGGGTTGACATTGGGGCTGGAGAGATCTTTGGGTTGACATTGGGGCTGGAGAGATCTTTGGGTTGACATTGGGGCTGGAGAGATCTTTGGGTTGACATTGGGGCTGGAGAGATCTTTGGGTTGACATTGGGGCTGGAGAGATCTTTGGGTTGACATTGGGGCTGGAGAGATCTTTGGGTTGACATTGGGGCTGGAGAGAGATTTTTGGGTTGACATTGGGGCTGGAGAGAGATTTTTGGGTTGACATTGGGGCTGGAGAGAGATTTTTGGGTTGACATTGGGGCTGGAGAGAGATTTTTGGGTTGACATTGGGGCTGGAGAGAGATTTTTGGGTTGACTTTGGGGCTGGAGAGAGATTTTTGGGTTGACTTTGGGGCTGGAGAGAGATTTTTGGGTTGACGTTTTGGGTAGGGGAGATCCTTGGGTGGACATCGAGGTGGCGGAGAGCTGTTTCTCGAAGTGTTTTCACCCTCTTTATGCTTTGCAGCCATATAGCACCACAAAGGTAGGGTGCATTCGCTAGGGTTGTGCATTCCCTTCTAAGTCATTTAAAAGTATAAACCTACTTGGTGTTTTTTTTATGTACGCAGCAGACTGGCTGGAGACATCCTTCAAAACATTTTTGGTAGCCCTCTTAATACCCCATCAGAGGAAGCCTTTATCCTGTTTCTTGATTGGGCTTGCAGCTGTCATTTAAGGCTTTTTTGCATTGCTATCCAAAGTGTGTATCACCTGCACAGAGGATAATGAGCTAGGCTTAGAAAACCCTCATAAATCCCCCAAACCTAAATCTCTGTACATAAGAAAATAGTAACATTTCACCAATAGAACATCAGTTTGGGTAAGTTGCCATTTTGTTGTTTTTCTTTTTGTTTTTTTTACATTTTGTTTCATTTCAATGTGATATAGGCTAAAATAACCTTTTGTGTTTGTGTTTTTTCCACTTTTCTCTCAGTTGACGTTCGATGGGATGTCTGATTCTGCTGGCTGTTGAGTGGCGTCCTTGGTCATGCGTGTTGTCCTGGTGATGATTGGAGGGGTGGAAGTGAAGTGTGTGACTTCTGAGAATGACGTGTTTTCTATAAAGAGACAATGAACAGTCTGACTGCATGTCTGTGAGATAGTGAGTGGAGGGTGTGTAATGCGGTGTCGGCCATCTTGTGTTGCTTTAGCGAGTGGTCAGGTGATGTGGTCTTGCCTGCGTGGTTGCTGCACTGGTGTGTTCTGAATGCACTGAATCTTTAACGCAAGTTGTGTTTTTAGATGTTTAATCTATCTTGACAATTAGCAGTCTGTAACGTTACTCTGTTCTTTTTTTTTTTAAATGTACTTTAGGCAGCTGTGACTTTCAGGGAATGTGACCTAGAAAATAGAGATATGCATCAGTAATTGCATTCTAAAGACGGCTGAGCCAGATTTTTTTTTTTCTTTTTTCCCTCCTTTATTACAGGCCAATCTTACGAAATCCGTCTCCTTGACAACAGAAAATTGGGAGAGTACCAAGACCTCAATACCAAATATCTCAAGGTACTTTATTGGGCTTGCTCATCTGTTCATCTTGTGAAATAATAACCTAGCACTGGAGGAAAGTTCACTGATCTCCTGTCATCCTGTCCCACAGAGCATTTTAAGGGTGGTTTTCCACGACCGGCGCTTGCAGTACACGGAACATCAGCAGCTCGAAGGTTGGCGATGGAGCCGACCCGGGGATCGCATCCTTGACATAGGTTGGTGTATCTGAGAATGGGAGTCTATGAACGTTGGTACATTTTGTACATACAGTCCTGGTACGTTTTATCTTCATTTTGGCATGAAAACTTTGATCTTTTTACAGATATCCCCTTGTCGGTTGGCATTTTGGATCCCAGAGCTAGCCCAACACAACTGAACACTGTAGAGTTCCTGTGGGATCCATCCAAAAGAACGTCTGCTTTTATTCAGGTACTACAGACTGCCTGCCATGGAAAAAGGCCATTCGTGAAAAAGCTGAGAAGGAAGAAAGAAGGAATGGGTAAACTAGGGGAAAAATCTTAAAGCGGAACTTCACTCTTCATGGGAAAGTCCACTTTTAAGAATCCTACCCCCCTCCTCTAACAATATTGGAGGTTTATTCTTTTTTCGGGAGCGGGTGCCTAGTTTCAGCAGGAACACGCTCCAACTGCCACTGGAATTGCATAGGACATTCCCCGGAAGGTATCATGTCACAGGTCCCAAGAGGCTGCAGGACTATTCACATAGCTTGGCGCATGCACAACGGGAAGCCGGCTGTGAAGCCACATGGAGTCATAGTCAGTTTCCCACACTAGGGGTGGATCTTGCTTGCATTGGGCTCATTCAGGGAACACTTTGCAGTCTCTGATTGGACTAGGCGGAGAAACGGGGGCATTGACATCATGATCTACACCTCATGCCATTTGGCAGACACTCAACAGGACCCGGAAGCTTAGTGGAGATCACTGTAGGAGAGGTGCCTGCTAGTAATTTCCAGCTTCCATGGTGCTCCCGAAAAAATGGCACTACATAATAAGTGGAAAAATTGCCATATCCAAACTTCAGTGTATTTCCTCCTTTGCCGCCATATTTGAGGAAAAATGTCTCCCGCTTCTAGTTTCTTTGAAGCAGGATTATATATGGGACTCTATACACTCACCGGCCACTTTTAGGTACACCTTGCCTAGTGCCAAGAAAATCTCCCCCACTCCTTTACACCACCACGAACTGTTGATACAAGGCAGGATGGATCCGCCACACCATGACACCACCAGCCTGAACCGTTTTTAAAAGGCAGGATGGATCCACCACACCGACACCACCACCCCCAGCCTGAACCATTGATACAAGGCAGGATGGATACACCACACCAACACCACCACCCCCAGCCTGAACCATTGATACAAGGCAGGATGGATACACCACACCGACACCACCACCACTAGCCTGAACCATTGATACAAGGCAGGTTGGGATACACCACACCGACACCACCACTAGCCTGAACCATTGATACGAGGTAGGATGGATCCATGCTTTCATGTTTACGCCAAATTCTGACCCTATCATCTGAATATCTCAGCAACCAGTCTGCCCATTCTCCTCATGACCTCTGACATCAACAAGGCATTTTCCTCCACACAACTGCCGCTCACTGGATATTGTCTTTTTCGGACCATTCTCTGTAAACCCTAGAGATGGTTGTGCGTGATAATCCCAGTAGATCAGCAGTTTTTGAAATACTCAGACCAGCCCGTCTGGCACCAACAACCATGCCATGTTCAAAGTCACTTAAATCCCTTTTCTTCCCCATTCTGATGCTCAGTTTCGACTCCAGCGAGTCGACATGCCTAAATGCTTTGAGTTGCTGCCATGTGATTGGCTGATTAGCAATTTGTGTTTCCAAGCCATTGAACAGGTGGACCTAATAAAGTGGCCGGTGAGTGTAGGTAGATTCAGAATACCTTACAATGCAGTTATTTAGGGACACTTCAGGGACTGGTTGAACTATGTGCTGGAACATACAATGCAGAACCCAAGTGTTTATCTTTAACCCTTTAGTAGGATACACTGTACAGATCTAGTTTACAACGGATAATGAGGATCTGCCAGCATAGTACAGACAGTGTTAACCATAACAAACGCACCTTCCCAGCCCCCTCATTAAAGCGGAGCTGCTGACTTTTAGAAAATGGACACTTACCTGTCCCTCGGTCCAGCGGTGTCGCAACGCAGCCAGTTTCACCGGCCACCTTGTGTCCCGGCACTGGCATCTTCATTGTGGGTACACTGCTGTGACAGCTTGTGGCTTCAGTAGTAGCGCTATGCTTTGTGAATGGCCCTGTAGTCTTCTGCCTGTCACATATCCCAGAAGACTATGGGGAGGGACGGGGGAGGACAACTTCCACTTCTGATCGCCTAAGCCAGGGGTAGGCAACCTGAGAGCTGTAGGACTACAAGTTCCATCATGCCTCTGCAAGTCATAGCTGTAACTGTCAGTTTTGTAATCTTTGCAATGCCCCATGGGAAATGTAGTTCCACAACAGCTAGAGAGCCACAGGTTGCCTACCCCTGGCCTAGGTGATCGTAGTAGGAATGGGTACCTGCCAATTTTCGGGTACCCCCACTCCCCAAAGGTGCCTTAACGGGGAGCGGGGGGACCAGTCTTTAAAGCGGAACTTCCGCTTTTGGGTGTAGCTCCGCTTTAAACGTTTCATAATAGTGGTGAGTAGATTAAAGGATAAGTTCACCTTTTAGACAAAAATAATAAATGTACATTTTTTTTTTTAATATGAGAAATAGAGAAAAAAAAAGTGCCACAAACTAAATAGAACAAAAGCTGCACTCCTAACCAAAAAAAGGTAAAAATGTGAATAAATCAAAGTGTGCTAAATATAAGTAAATACAAAAAAAAAAATGATCAGTTTAAAATGATGTCCGTGATAGAAAAAATTTTATATAAAAGTCCATCCACCATAAAAAAGTAATTAAACAGTTCTGAAATCTTGAATACATCAAACACCGTGCAAAAAAAATCCACCACTGAATGAAATGGGTACACTCACCAGAGCTCCATGCTGACCAGATTATAAATCGGCAAAGATAGCGTTCGCTCTGGGAGCGATGATCAGCAGAAGTAATCCAAACTGGGCGCAATATACTGCAAGCAGCCAATCAACACAATATGGAATAGCCTTAACATCAGGTAGTCATCACGTCTCCATACTATAGATCATGTTCCGGGAATCAAAAAAGGAAATCATGGTGCAGTACGTTTAAAACCAAAATGTTTTATTAAAATGTCAGAAATGCACTCACAAACCTGATGATTTCCTTTTTGCAGTATATTGCTCCCAGTTTGGATTAAGTCTGCTGTATTTACTTATATTTAGCGCACTCTTTGATTTATTCACATTTTTTTTTTTTTTTTTTTGCAGGTAAAAAAAATGTGCATTTTATTATTTTTTGTCTCCAGGAACCTGAAAAGCAATGCACCAGCGATCGCTGATGTCATGCAGGTCTCCTGCAGATCTGTCAGAATATCAGCTTGCCGCATGGGGGTGTACAGGGATGTATGGGGGTGTACAGGGATGTATGGGGGTGTACAGGGATGTATGGTCAAGCAGATATTTTGGACAGGAATTACCACGGTGCTCCACAGCGCAGTGGTAGTTCATTGAAAACTACAAGCCCACACCCGCTAAGGCTGCTGGGACTTGCAGTTCTTTAATTCACGGAAGTCCATGAATGAATGATGCGGCCGTGCATGCGGTTTTCAAAATTGAGAGTACGGGGAGACTTCTCCCTGTACTATCTGTCAGAGGGAGGAGGGGCGGCGGAAGGTGGTTGCGGCTATGGGAACATTTTATTATTATTATTATTATTATACAGGATTTATATATTATTATATTATTATTATGATTAGGATTTTATTTTAATATTCTATTATTATTATATTATTATTATTGATTTTTTTGTTATTTATTATTATTATTATTAATGATAATGTTATTATTTATATTATTATATTTTATATTATTATTATTATGATTATTATTATATTATGATTATTATTTTTTTTCTATTATTATTCTATTATTGTTTTTGTTTTTATTATTTTATATTATTATATTATTATATTATATTTATATTATTATATACAGGATTTATGGCGCCAACAGTTTGCTCAGCGCTTTACAATATAGTAGGAGACAATACAGTTCAATACAAGAGGGTTAGGAGGGCCCTGATCCTGGGAGCTTACAATCTAACATGTTACATGTTCCACCCTAACAGGTGGAACATGTAACCTGTTCCTAGAGGTGAACTTATCCTTTAAGGGTAGATTTTTTTTTTTTTTTTTTGAGTTTTTCGAAAAGACCAAGTGAACAGGTGGATGGTGACATGTAACGAATATAAAGTAGATCTTCTCCCAATTTGACTGCAAAAGTGGGAAATACGCTTTAAGATGTTTACTTGTATAATAATATTTTAGCTTTTATTTTCTTTTAATACTTTGCATTTTTCATCTATATACGTAGGTACATTGTATCAGCACAGAATTCACGCCGAGGAAGCATGGCGGCGAGAAGGGCGTTCCTTTCCGAATTCAGATTGATACATTTAAGCAGAATGAGAATGGAGAGTACACAGAGCATTTGCACTCAGCTAGCTGCCAAATCAAGGTGTTCAAGGTAACTGTCGGTCCTTGGAGGAGACTCTTATTTCTATGGTCCCACTACATTTAGTCTTTTTATCCTTCTCGACCGCATCCTTAGGAAAACATGACACCCTCATAAGAAATATACAGTTTGTTGTACACGGAAGCGGTTCTGTCCAAACTCTTATTTGTCAACTTATAGTTGTAAGGCCGGCCATAGATGGATAGTTTTTTTTTTTTTTTTTTTTATTTAATTTTTCCCCATCCCGTTTGGGAGAAGTCGCTCTTCAGATCGACTTTGGTTGAGAGAGCGGCCACGCGCAGATCAAATCATCGGCTGCTCCCTGCTGAAATGGTCGAATTTTGATCCACCTATGGTCAGCTTAAGATTCCCACAGTCGTTCAGCTTGGATGGAAGTGGGTCAGCTTTCCACAGATGGGCTGTGGAGTGAAAAACGAAAAAAAAAAACACTCTAAAAATGCAGAAAAGACATAGCAACGTCAAGCAGAAAACGTTTAGGAATCACACGGCATCTACACTGCAAGGCAATCATGAGCCACTGTGGAGCTCTGCTACAACTTCCAAGGGTGTATGTTTCCAAAACGTAAAAAAAAAACATTTTGCTTTGCATTAAATTCTTCTACCTTTTAAAATATATTTCATATTTAAATCTTTGCGGGGGAAGGATACCCCATTGGTGTCAGTGAGGAGGAAGGGTACTCTGTTGCTGTTGTAAGTGGGGAGGAGAGTGCCTCAATGTTGGTGTCGGTGGGGAGGGAGAGTGCCCCAATGTTGGTGTCGGTGGGGAGGGAGAGTGCCCCAATGTTGGTGTCGGTGGGGAGGGAGAGTGCCCCAATGTTGGCGTCGGTGGGGAGGGAGGAGAGTGCCCAATGTTGGCGTCGGTGGGGAGGGAGGAGAGTGCCCCAATGTTGGCGTCGGTGGGGAGGGAGGGAGGAGAGTGCCCCAATGTTGGCGTCGGTGGGGAGGGAGGAGAGTGCCCCAATGTTGGCGTCGGTGGGGAGGGAGGAGAGTGCCCCAATGTTGGGCGTCGGTGGGGAGGAGGAGAGTGCCCCAATGTTGGCGTCGGTGGGGAGGGAGGAGAGTGCCCCAATGTTGGCGTCGGTGGGGAGGGAGGAGAGTGCCCCAATGTTGGCGTCGGGGGGAGGGAGGAGAGTGCCCCAATGTTGGCGTCGGTGGGGAGGGAGGAGAGTGCCCCAATGTTGGCGTCGGTGGGGAGGGAGGAGAGTGCCCCAATGTTGGCGTCGGTGGGGAGGGAGGAGAGTGCCCCAATGTTGGCGTCGGTGGGGAGGGAGGAGAGTGCCCCAATGTTGGCGTCGGTGGGGAGGTGAGGAGAGTGCCCCAATGTTGGCGTCGGTGGGGAGGGAGGAGAGTGCCCCAATGTTGGCGTCGGTGGGGAGGGAGGAGAGTGCCCCAATGTTGGCGTCGGTGGGAGGGAGGAGAGAGTGCCCCAATGTTGGCGTCGGTGGGGAGGGAGGAGAGTGCCCCAATGTTGGCGTCGGTGGGGAGGGAGGAGAGTGTCCAATGTTGGTGTCGGTGGGGAGGAAGGGTTACATAGTTAGTCTGGCTGAAAAAAAGACAAAAGTCCATCCAGTTCAATTCAAAAAAAAAAAAAAAAGTTCTAATCCTATACTCAGTAGTTCCAGAGGAAGGCAAAAAAAACCAGCAAAGCATGAAATAATTTGCTCCTGCAGGAAATAATTCCTTCCTGACCCCCCGAGAGGCAATCGGATATTCCCTGGATCCACGTTCCCTATAAATGTTATATCCGTTATATTCTGTGTATCCAAGAAAGAATCCAGGACTTTCCTACAGCAATCCACTGAGCTGGCCACAACCAACTCTTGAGGGTGCCCCCGTTGGTGTCGACGGGAAGGAAGGGTGAACCCGTTGGTGTCGGCGGGGAGGAAGGGTGCCCCCGTTGGTGTCGGCGGGGAGGAAGGGTGCCCCAGTTGGTGTCGGTGGGGAGGAAGGGTGCCCCCGTTGGTGTCGGCGGGGGAGGAAGGGTGCCCCCGTTGGTGTCGGTGGGGAGGAAGGGGAAAGGGGCCCCGGTTGGTGTCGGTGGGGAGGAAGGGGAAAGGTACCCCGTTGGTGTCGGTGGGGAGGAAGGGGAAAGGTGCCCCGTTGGTTGGTGCCAGTGGGAGGAAGATGGTGACAGCTGTCTTAAGAAGCAAATTTCCATTACCTTTGTAGATACTTTTTCTCCTGTCTTCAGAGCAGGAAGTAAATAGAGACATGAACAAATGGGGACATAAGGCAACATATAAACATATACCCCTTTCCTACTAGAAATCCAAACTTGTACTTAAAATATGTAACACTTGTTACATATAATGTGTATGTGCTGCTTGGTGACACCTGTTACATATAATGTATGATATGTGCTGCTTGGTAACACTTGTTACATATAATGTATGATATGTGCTGCATGTTAACACCTGTTACATATAATGTATGATATGTGCTGCATGTGGTAACACCTGTTACATATAATGTATGATATGTGCTGCTTGGTGACACCTGTTACATATAATGTATGATATGTGCTGCTTGGTGACACCTGTTGCATATAATGTATGATATGTGCTGCTTGGTGACACCTGTTACATATAATGTATGATATGTGCTGCTTGGTAACACCTGTTACATATAATGTATGATATGTGCTGCTGGTGACACTTGTTACATATAATGTATGATATGTGCTGCTTGGTAACACCTTGTTACATATAATGTATGATATGTGCTGCTTGGTGACACCTGTTACATATAATGTATGATATGTGCTGCTTGGTGACACTGTTACATATAATGTATGATATGTGCTGCTTGGTGACACTGTTACATATAATGTATGATATGTGCTGCTTGGTGACACTTGTTACATATAATGTATGATATGTGCTGCTTGGTGACACTTGTTACATATAATGTATGATATGTGCTGCTTGGTGACACTTGTTACATATAATGTATGATATGTGCTGCATGTTAACACCTGTTACATATAATGTATGATATGTGCTGCTTGGTGACACCTGTTACATATAATGTATATGTGCTGCTGGGTGAAGGCCTCATTCTTGTCTTACATCTCTGTCCAGCCGAAAGGAGCGGACCGGAAGCAGAAGACGGACCGAGAGAAGATTGAGAAGAGAACGATGCAGGAGAGGGAGAAATACCAAGCATCCTACGATACCACAATCCTGATAGAGGTGAGAAATACTGAGGTGCTCGGCCATATCCGCAGAACATGACACTCCCCGAAGTTCTAGATGGCTGTGTTTAACGCTTTCGCTGTCGGATTTTTAAATTATTTTTTTTGCACGTGTGTTTAAATGTGGGATTTGGTCTTGGCGCTGAATGCTTGGAGATGCAGCAAAAACAGGATCCAGAGGGGTGCACAGAATAGGGTTTTCTGTCCTACAAACATAATAGCCAGCCTGTGTGTTTTGCTCTTGGGCAGAATTTCTGTTTTTACCTGAAATTGAACTGTCACGGGTCATTTGAGTATTTTTACTCCCTTTCCTCCTCCTATAGCCTCTGGCATTTAGTAGAGGAAGGTGAAATTGGAACTAAAACTTTAAGGTTTATGTCAGGTGTAAAGAATGCCGTGGAAGATGGATTCCTTTTAACCCAGTGGTTCTCAACCTTCCTAATGCCGCGACCCTTTAATACAGTTCCTCATGTTGTGGTGACCCCCAACCATAAAATTATTTACCCAGTAATTATAATTCATGAAGTATCGTTTTGCCTTCAATACTGCTGCTTTCTACACCGTAGCTGCTTTCTACACTGTAGCTGCTTTCTACACCGTAGCTGCTTTCTACACCGTAGCTGCTTTCTACACCGTAGCTGCTTTCTACACCGTAGCTGCTTTCTACACCGTAGCTGCTTTCTACACCGTAGCTGCTTTCTACACCGTAGCTGCTTTCTACACCGTAGCTGCTTTCTACACCGTAGCTGCTTTCTACACCGTAGCTGCTTTCTACACCGTAGCTGCTCTTCTACACCCGTAGCTGTTCTTTCTACACCGTAGCTGCTTTTCTACACCGTAGCTGCTTTTCCACACCGTAGCTGCTTTCTACACCCTAGCTGCTTTCTACACCCTAGCTGCTTTCTACACACCGTAGCTGCTTTCTACACACTAGCTGCTTTCTACACACGTAGCTGCTTTCTACACACTAGCTGCTTTCTACACACTAGCTGCTTTCTACACACTAGCTGTTCTTTCTACACACTAGCTGCTTTCTACACACTAGCTGCTTTCTACACACTAGCTGTTCTTTCTACACACCGTAGCTGCTTCTTTCACACACTAGCTGCTCTTTACACACTAGCTGTTCTTTACCACATCGGAAATGTTTTTCCGATGGTCTTAAGCGACCCCTGTGAAAGGGTCCTTCGACCCCCAAAGGGGTCCCGACCCACAGGTTGAGAATCACTGCTTTAACCACTTCATGTCCAGACACTTTTACCCCCTTTCAGTCCAGGCCAATTTTCAGCTTCCAGCTCTGTCGCACTTTGAATGACAATTGCGCAGTCATGCAAGACTGTACCCATATGAAATATTTAGCTTTTTTGAGACAGATAAAACTTTATTTTGGTGGTATTTACTCACCGCTGGGATTTTTATTTTTTTGCTATATAAATGAAAAAGTCTCAAAAGTTTTAAAGTGTTTTTCTTATACAATTTTGCAAATAAATCATTCTTCATAAATCTTGGCTAAAATGTATTCAGTTATCTTTTTAGTAACAAAAAATAACCCAAATTGGTTTAAAACCAAAAATTATAATTTTTCAAAAATTGTTTTTTTTTTTATATTTTATTTATTTATTTTTACATACGGTCACCCTAGCAGTACAGTGTCACCATAGTGACACTGTACTACTTGTGGGGGGGGGGGGTGATTTTTTTTTTTTTTTTTACACGGATTGCTTTTCCACCCATAAAGGCTGTAAAAGCAATAATTTCTCCTTCTCTCTGGCTGCATTCTTGCAGCCATTGAAAAATACTGAGAGCTGTGATTGGTCACAGCTTGTCACATGGTACAAGGCTGTTGGGAATAGCCTTGTACCATGTGACCTCTGTGATCATTCACAGATTTCACAAGTAGTAAGCAATGTCAGAAATGACATCTTGCTTACACATATTCATGTGATCACTTATTGGCCAATCAGTGATCACATGATCGAGACCTCACACAGAGGTCCCATACAGTGATCGCGGTGCCACGCGCTCCCAGGGAGCGCGCACAATCCAAAATGGCGGGCGCCATTTAGGAATGGCAACCCGCCCCTTCACTGCCAACCATCCGGCCGCTTTATATACAGCGGCCGGATGGCAAGTGGTTAAAAAAAAAAAAAAAAAAGCTCTTAGAGAAAATGTAAAGGTTCCGTATACATGAGCAATCCTTACACTGTATACCGTCATTTCTGGACGTTCATGTAGACTTTGTGATCTCCTACCTTTTGGTGTACGCTGGATTTTAAAATCTTCCAAGTGGGGGATAATTTTAAACTTGGTGGTTGTAAACCTTTTACATATATACTGGCCTTGAATGATACACAGAGATGAAACAAATCCTCCTAAATACGTTGTACCTATTTATCTGCAGTCTTCTCTACACATGTTCAAAGTCCTGAATTTATAAAGCTTGTTCTGAGAATTTAGATAAAAACGGGAAGGAGAGCTGAAATTACACACTGTAGAGCTCAATGAGGAGTGTTCTGAGAGCTGATTGGAGGAAAGAGACGCTGCCCCTCACCCTGCACACAGGAACAGAGCTGAGGCTGTCAATCTGCTGTAGGGCCCTCCCCTGTCACCATTTTCAAGGCAGCAGACAGAAATGAAACTTGAGGTTTGATTTAGTAAAGGCAAATAGACTGTGCACTTTGCAAAGTACAGTTGTACTCTCCAAGTGCAGTTGCTCCAGAGCAAGGCACTCCAAACTATGGCCCTCCAGCTGCTGAAGTACTACAAGTCCCATCATGCCTCTGCCTCTGGGAGTCTTGCCTGTGGGCTCATGGGACTTGTAGTTCCTCAACACCTGGAGGTCCATAGTTTGGAGACCCCTGCTCCAGAGCTTAGTAAATGAGGTAAAGCTTTAGTTTGCAGAGAACACCCAATCATGTGTAGAGAAAATAAAAGAATAAAAAAAAACAGCATTTTTGCTTTCATGTCATTGATGGAATTCGGCAGAGCTTCTGATCATTTTATTAAACTGTGGGAGTGCCCAGTCTATTTGCCTTTAGTAAATCAGCCCCTTAGTGCTCTGGATGGTGACAAGTACACACTATAGAGCAGTGGTTCTCAACCTGGGGGTCGCGACCCCTTTGGGGGTCGAAGGACCCTTTCACAGGGGTCGCCTAAGACCATCGGAAAACACATATTTCCGATGTGTAGAGAGCCGCTACTGTGTAGAGAGCCGCTACTGTGTAGAGAGCCGCTACTGTGTAGAGAGCCGCTACTGTGTAGAGAGCCGCTACTGTGTAGAGAGCCGCTACTGTGTAGAGAGCCGCTACTGTGTAGAGAGCCGCTACTGTGTAGAGAGCCGCTACTGTGTAGAGAGCCGCTACTGTGTAGAGAGCCGCTACTGTGTAGAGAGCCGCTACTGTGTAGAGAGCCGCTACTGTGTAGAGAGCCGCTACTGTGTAGAGAGCCGCTACTGTGTAGAGAGCCGCTACTGTGTAGAGAGCATGATACTTCATGAATTATAAATTACTGGGTAAATAATTTTATGGTTGGGGGTCACCACAACACGAGGAACTGTATTAAAGGGTCGCGGCATTAGGAAGGTTGAGAACCACTGCTATAGAGGGATATGCGTTGTTCATATTTCACGTCTGAGGTTTACAACCACGTTCATCTTGCAGTGTTCTCCGTGGCCAGATCTGCCGTATCAGTCAAATTCATCGTCTTCTCCTGGCTACAACAGCTCTCCAAACAGCTTCGGGATAGGAGATGGGTATGTTTTTTATCCTTTTTATATTTCACACACCGTATAAAACGTAATACATAGCCTCTTCCACATGAACACTAGTTCCATTGTAAATACAAAATTTGAGCAGAAATCGCAGCGGTTGTGGAAGTGTTTGGTGGCTTCACAGATGCTTATATCACCTCCTCAGGGAAAGCCAGTCGGCTTCATAAAAGTACACACACTCATGGCCGCTCTACCCGCACACACGGTTAAAAAAAATCCAAATCCCCGGCACGTGGCTGGGGATTCAGATTTTACAGGCCCCCCTCATCCCTGTGCCCTTTAAGCTTGTGCCAACCCTGTGGTGGGGGGGGGGGGGGGGGGGGCATAAGTGACTGTGGGTAAGGGTGGGCTGAGGTTGGGGGAAAAAAAGAAACCGGAGATGGGTAGGTTTCTGAAAATTATTTCATCCCGGTTTTTTCCACATGCAAATACTGCCAGTCATGGGTTTTTTTTTTTTCCCCATTGATCCCTGCCTTTGTATACAAGAGACGCTGCTGTACAGAACGTCCTGGGCTGCCTAATGGTTTTGTAGAGCAAAGGGGAAATAACTTGCATCATGTGACCTAACAAGGCTGGGTGTGTTCGCTTTACATGGGGCGTGATGTCGCGCTGAAAGCCTCGAAGGTGTTCAGCACTGCTCCTGCGGACAGCGACACCACTGATATGTTAACAGCACTAATTCTTCTTCTCTGCCTGTGTAGAATCCTGTTTCTGATTTGTTGTTTTTCTTGCTTGTTTCAGCAACTGTTCTCCAACCCCTCAGGTGGAGCCACCCGCTGTTAGAAATGAGGTAAATATGCTTGAAATTTGGACCTTTAGCACACTTCTGCAGAAAAAAAGAAAAAAAAATGTGCTTACCTGTCAACCAGGTTTGTATGAGTCCCTGAGTGAAGAATCGTTTATAGGAGAACTTCAGCCACATTTCTGACCTTCAGTATTAATAAAGGGCAATATTCTCTGAATCTAAACTGAATTATAAACTGTTGCTATAGTATTTTTTTGAAAATACGTTCAAATCTTCAGTCCAAATGTGTTGCTGCTGCCTTAACTTTTCTGGCTCTTCATATCCCCAGCAAGGTGGGTGGTAATGTCCGCTTCCTGCCCATTGCAAAACATCATCTCCCATGTCTCCTTGCAGTGCCCCCAGTCAATGTGCTGCTGTTCAGGCTAAACCAGCCCCTTGTGTCCATGCATTATGTACTCACACAAGTGATCAGTAGATTGCGCATTAAAGTTTGCATCACACAGCAGCCAGCAGGAAAGGCATGCAAATCTAACCGGATGCCAGGAATGTGTTCTTTCATATAATACTGGGTGGTGCAGATTTTACCTGTGCAATATGCTAGCCAGTTGCTTTGCTTACTGTTCCAGCAGCACATCTGATGGTGTCATCAAGTAAATAATCAGTAGATTGCGCACTAAAGTTTGCATCACACAGCAGCCAGCAGGAAAGGCATGCACATCTAACAGGATGCCAGGAATGTGTTTTTTCATATAACGCACGGGTGTCAAACTGGCGGCCCTCCAGCTGTGGCAAAACTACAAGTGCCTTTGGGAGTCATGCTTGTAACTGTCTATCTTGCAATGCCTCATGGGACTTGTAGTTTGACAACAGCTGAAGGGAAGCCAGTTTGACACCTGGTCATTATATGAAAGAACACATTCCTGGCATCCTGTTAGACATTCATGCCCTTTCCTGCTGGCTGCTGTGTGATGCAAACTTTAATGCGCAATCTACTGATCATTTTCTTGATTACACTTATCAGATGTGCTGCTGGAACAGTAGTCAAGCAACTGGTTAGCGGATTGCACAGGTAAAATCTGCACCACCCAGTATTATATGAAACACATTCCTTGCATCCTGTTAGATGTGCATGCCCTTTCCTGTTGGCTGCTGTGTGATGCAAACTTTAATGCGCAATCTACTGATCATTAGCTTGATTACATTTATCAGATGTGCTGCTGGATCAGTAGTCAAGCAACTGGTTAGCGGATTGCACAGGTTAAATCTGCACCACCCAGTATTATATGAAACACATTCCTTGCATCCTGTTAGATGTGCATGCCCTTTCCTTCTGGCTGCTGTGTGATGCAAACTTTAATGCGCAATCTACTGATCATTAGCTTGATTACACTTATCAGATGTGCTGCTGGAACAGTAGTCAAGCAACTGGTTAGCGGATTGCACAGGTAAAATCTGCACCACCCAGTAGGCCAGCAAAGGAGAGAGGGGCACCCGTCTCTCTCCTTTATCTTCCACTACAGAGTCCAGCTTAACTCTATAGGGTGCTGCCCCTTGACTGTGCTATCCATACAGCTGAATACTTCCCTACTACCAATGGGACTGTAATATATTGGCGCCATCTCTCCAGCGTCCGCATATGACCTATCGCTACATGCTCAAGCATTTAATTGTACAGTGGAGAGATTCTATCTATTCCCATAGCTGAACATTTTCCCGATTACCCATGGGACTGTAATACCTATACCCACCTCTCCAGCGCCAATATCTTACCTACTAGGCCAGCAAAGGAGTGTATGCTCATCTAAAGGGTTGCTAGGTTTGTATCCTTGTTACACTTAATCTGCTTTACTAAGTAGGCCAATGTACAGACTCCATGTATGTCATAAAATACACTTGGTATTTGCTCCCAGTGCATCTGAATGGGGGGGGGGGGGGGGTTACAAAGGGAGATATTGAGATGAAGGAATGAAATGTCTCCACAGACATAAAAGAATGTTTCTTTAGTGCAAATTAAAGGTATTTATGGGGGACTAAATTTACAACGAATTTAAAAGAAACAGAAAAATGAGGCATATACATTTTTTTTTTTTTTTCCTTGGTGACACTTTTAACCTCACAGGATATGTCCTTTGATGACCCCGGTAACAATATTATTTTTTTTCTTTTTTCACATTAGAAAACGCCTGCATTTAACAATGAGACCTGGAATCAGGATGACAAAGGAAAGGTACCTTCAGTTTTCTTGATCATCGAAATGTTCAGAGGCTGTGAGGATCCCTGGGGGTGTAACATTCTAATTGTAGTCCTTTTGTTTTGTGTGCAGTATCTCGTGCCGTCCGCATCCATACAAGATGTGCAACAGTGGTGCAGCGCAATAGGTTCCCTCAGTATTGCAGACTTCTATCGAGTTTCTCAGGTATGCTGTGGCGTCTCATATTTTTTTTTTTTTTTTCTTCTATAAAGATGCTTTAGTAGAGAATCTGAGTGGCCAATCACCAAGGCCAAAACAGTCGCAGGGAAAGAAGATATTAACCACTTGCCGTCCGGCCGCTGTATAAAACGGCAGGACGGTGGCAGTCCAGGGGCGGGTTGCCGTTCATAAACGGCACCCGGATTTTCAAGCTGTGCGCACTCCCTGAGAGCGCGCAGCATCGCAATCCAGTGCCCGCTGTGTCCTCTGGACACCGTGGAACACCGATCGTCGTACGGGACCTCTGTGCGAGGTCCCGATCATGTGGTCACTGATTAGCCAATCAGCGATCACATGCAGAATAGTAAGCAAGATGTCACTTCTGACATCATTGCTTACTATGTGTGAAATCTGTGAATGATCACAGAGGTCACATGGTACAGGGCTATTCACAACAGCCTTGTACCATGTGACAAGCTGTGACCAATCACAGCTCACACAGCATTTCTCAATGGCTGCAAGAATGCAGCCAGAGAGGAGAAGAAATGATTGCTTTTACACCCATGAAGAGTGTAAAACAAAAAAAAAAAATCTTTATCACCCCCCACAAGTAGTACAGTGTCACCATGGTATGTAAAAAAAAAAAAAACATAATATCAAAAAAATAAAAAATAAAAATGTAAAATTTTTTAAAAAAATTATAAATTTTGGTTATAAACGAATTTGGGTTTTTTTTTTTTTTTTTTTTTTTACTAAAAAGATAACTGAATACGTTTTGGCCAAAATGTTTGATAAAATATTATTTATTTGCAAAATTTTATAAGAAAAACACATTTTTGGACTTTTTCATTTATATAGCAAAAAAAAATAAAAATCCCAGTGGTGAATAAATACCACCAAACTAAAGCTTTATCTGCCTCAAAAAATGCTAGAAAATTCATATGGGTACAGTGTTGCATGACCGCACAATTGTCATTCAAAGTGGGATGGTGCTGTAAGCTGAAAATTGGCCTGGGGGGGAAAGTGTCTGGACTTGAAGGGGTTAATACTGTCTAAACCAGCACCGACCAACATGGGGTGCACTGCACACATAGGGTTTAGGCTCTGGACTCAGAACAGAATGCCCCCCAACACAGGTCTTCTGCGTTTCAGACGTTTGTCCCAGAACACATAAGGCACTAAACCAGAGAACCACCCGGTACAGCATTCCGCTCTGTCCAGCCAGCCTATCATAGACTTTGACAGGCTGCAGGTCCCTCCCGGGTGTGCTAAAACACTGGAAAGGACTCACAGCAGCTTAGACCCCTCTGTGTGTGCAAGGGACTTAAACCTCTGGCCTCTTATGGTGTGAACGCAAATTTTAGTAAAATTAAGAAATTAAAAAAAAAAAATTGGCATGGCGGGGACGCTTAAAATCTCGAAATGCAAACCCAAACGGTGAACTTATTTGCTCCCTTTTTGGTCTGGTAAATATAACTGAAAATATTTTAGCTGTTCAATAACTGCAAAAAAAAACTTTGATCCTGTGAAAAATCCACCGAGCTCTCTGCCTCATTATCTCAAGCAATGTCAGCACTGCAAATTTCCCCTTTGAACTACAAAACGCTCCACTGTGTCCTCCGGCTGTATACATCGGACGATGCTGGCACCGTCTTCAGGGTTCCGTTCCGTCGGGACGCAGAGGGGTGGGACCTGCAGGGGAGTCAAAAAGTAAAAAATATCATACACACAATATAATCTGTTAGGATTACATTCCTGTATCAAACCATTTCACCAAATTTTGTCCCAAGTGCTTTGTCCGGCGCCCTGCCAGCACTGTTACCGTTTTTCTGCCTGGAAACTGAGAAACATCCATGGCGTCCAAAAAGCGTCCCTTTAGGTCAGACGCGGTTTTAGACCGGCTAGAGAGAACAGCGATAGTAAATCAGAACCACTTGCAGAATTGAGTGATAATGATTGGTGGGGGAAATTCCTCATCAGACACTGAAAACGATTCTGCGACTGAGCTCAGTGATGTGCGAACTTGGCGCTATATTTCACATTTCAGTGTTTTTGGGTTGATTACATTATTGAATTAAATTTATTATATTATTTTTTTAGAATTTATTATATTATAATTCATGATTTCGTGTTTTCAAACTTTCACACCCGGGATGTTTTACTAGACTCTTGTTTGGACAGATTTAAGTGAATTATTCCTAAGAATCACAGGCCGACAATATAAAACAAATTTCCATGCAAAACAATGTACTGCTTTGACATTCAAAAATATTGATTTAGTTAGACCTCCAGGGAGGTTAAAGCAAATCGGTACTCGGTGTCGGCGAGCACCCGACCGAGAGTCTCGGCCCTTGCACCCGACCGAGAGTACCCGACCGAGAGTCTCGGCCCTTGCACCCGACCGAGAGTCTCGGCCCTAGCACCCGACCGAGAGTCTCGGCCCTCGCACCCTCGACCGAGAGTCTCGGCCCTCGCACCCGACCGAGAGTCTCGGCCCTCGCACCCGACCGAGAGTCTCGGCCCTCGCACCCGACCGAGAGTCTCGGCCCTCGCACCCGACCGAGAGTCTCGGCCCTCGCACCCGACCGAGAGTCTCGGCCCTCGCACCCCGACCGAGAGTCTCGGCCCTCGCACCCGACCGAGAGTCTCGGCCCTCGCACCCGACCGAGAGTCTCGGCCCTCGCACCCGACCGAGAGTCTCGGCCCTCGCACCCGACCGAGAGTCTCGGCCCTCGCACGCCGACCGAGAGTCCGGCCCTCGCACCCGACCGAGAGTCTCGGCCCTCGCACCCGACCGAGAGTCTCGCCCTCGCACCCGACCGAGAGTCTCGGCCCTCGCACCCGACCGAGAGTCTCGGCCCTCGCACCCGACCGAGAGTCTCGGCCCTCGCACGCCCGACCGAGAGTCTCGGCCCTCGCACCCGACCGAGAGTCTCGGCCCTCGCACCCGACCGAGAGTCTCGCCCTCGCACCCGACCGAGAGTCTCGGCCCTCGCACCCCGACCGAGAGTCTCGGCCCTCGCACCCGACCGAGAGTCTCGGCCCTCGCACCCCGACCGAGAGTCTCGGCCCTCGCACCCGACCGAGAGTCTCGGACCCGACCGAGAGTCTCGGCCCTCGCACCCGAGAGTCTCGGCCCTCGCACCCGACCGAGAGAGTCTCTCGCCCTCGCACCCGACCGAGAGTCTCGGCCCTCGCACCCGACCGAGAGTCTCGGCCCTCGCACCCGACCGAGAGTCTCGGCCCTCGCACCCGACCGAGAGTCTCGGCCCTCGCACCCGACCGAGAGTCTCGGCCCTCGCACAACCCCCACCGACCGAGAGTCTCGGCCCTCGCACCCGACCGAAGTCTCCTTGCCGATTTAAAAAAAAAAAAAAAAAAAAAAAAAAAAAACCTGGTATCGGTGCATCCCTACTTTTGACAATTACTAATGTAAAATAAATGCTGGAAAGATTTGCTCATTTTTTTTATGAGATAGCCGTGTCTCTTCCTTGACTAAGGGTCAGCGGACACAGTCCCTTTGTACTGGCTTTGCACAGACTTCCCATGGAAGGGGTTTTTGGATCACCTACAGTATCTTTTGGATCATCCCCAGTATCTATGGAGAATTACTGTTTATAGCATCTTTCATGTTACTCTGAAAATGTCGACTTCTCTGTAACTGATTCTTATTAGCCTGTCAACTGCGAGGAGTGTCCTTGGCAGAACATTGCTGGCACACACGAGAGGACATTCGTTGCACAACATTTGGATGAACGGGTGGAACAAAACTGCCAAACTTGATTTAGAATCCACACCTTTATAGACACAGCTCTTGAGATTAGATAATGTCACGCCAGTTGCTATAGTTAGTAGGGACTTGTAGTTCTATCGGCAGATGGCCTTGGGAGCCGGATGGGTCTTGCTCCACAGCAGCTCTTTAGGCTGTAAATGGCAAAGAACGAATATAGAAATATCGGTTTTGGTCGCATGTAGAATTTTTCTACGGCTCTGATAGCTGAACATTATGATCGTTGTGGTGAGCAAGCTGCAGTAATGACGGACGGGCAGGAAGAAAAGGTGGATGGGGGGGTCACTTGTGCAGTACAGGTTTCTTGCTGTGGCGGAACTCCAGCTGTTGACCCATGAGGCATTGCAAGGCTGACCGTTGACTCCCAAGTTCTGTGCATCCCCATTCATGTCAGTTGGGATGCAGCAGCTGCACAGACACAGCCAAAGCTCCCAGTTTATCAGCTTTTCAGGTGCCCCCCCCCTGAGCCGAATTCAGACATTGTGCTTTGGGGGGCTGTGCACACACACCCATGACTATCCGGTTGGGAGCAGCGGCTGTGTCCGTGCCAGTTGACATGAATGGGGATGCACATCTGTGTGCAGACAAACTCTGTCCTTGTACATGTGTATGTTGTACATTTGTGTGAACAAGGCCTTAGAACAGCAATGGGCAAACTACGGCCCGGCGGACCTTTTAATCCGGCCCGCGGAGCTAGGCTCCCGCTAGGCTCCTCTCACAGTCCGACTAAAGATAGTTTTTTTTTGGAGGTTACAAAATAAATTACTGCATCACCAAATATATGGCTTCCATTCAGTAGCCCAAAGATGCATACAAAAAAGAAGGGTTTGTGAAAAGGAATTCACAGAAAGCGGCTACATTATGAACAGAATGTGATACTCAGAAAAATTTCCAAAAATTATGCTTTATTACATATAAATATTTGACATATGGGCAGTCTCCCTGGTTTACCATCACCTCAGTATGAGACAATACACACAGACCTAAAACCATGTAAAATGACACCAAAACCGGTCTGGATAGATGTGCTGCAAAGACAATGACCACTAAAGTCTAAAGTCTTTGTAGCACTGGCACATAGGTTAACACTTCCCAAAGGAGGTGTACACAAAAATTATACCATAGGTATATAGTGTCACATGTAATAAATATAAAGACATGTGTCATAACCATATAGGTTCTATCCCATAGAGGGGAATTCCCAAAAATTATACCAAAGGTATGAAATATCACATGTATACAATGCAGCGAGCACAGTGTGCGTCAAAAGAGAGGCATAACCATAAGCCTATGTTAGGCAGCAAAAAGGATATCACAAATGAAATGCAGTACAGTCCCGTGCCGGCACATATGGTTGGGGCCCATTCATCTGTAATATAAGTGACTGATTCTTAGGACTTTTAGATATAAATAACGCCCCAGTTGTTGCCTGGATGGAGAAACAGATGCAAGTAGCAGAACACTGCTTTAAGTGATTTCTTCACCACAGCATGTGGACTACACACCACTTTTTGTTGAAAACAAGATAAGGCCCAGCGGCTCCTCCGCCCGTTGAAATATATGTGGCATGCCTTGTTTCCTATATAAAGCACCATAATGTCCCCATCCTCTCACAGTCCGCCCTGAAGACCGGTGTAGCATGAAAATCTGTCTCCTATGAGGATCTGTCCCCCTCGACGTATCTGCGCATGTGCCGGAGATCGCCGATCGGCTGCTAATGCCTGAAACTGGCACATGCGCAGATACGTCGAGGGGGACAGATCCTCATAGGAGACAGATTTTCATGCTACACCGGAACGGCGCGGGAACACGGCAAGAGGAACGCGCGGAGCAAAGGTAAGTGAATTGACACAGGGGGGACTTGGGGACTTAATATGGGGGATGAATTAATATGGGGGATGAATTAATGATTAATATGGGGGATGAATTAATATGGGGGATGAATTACTATATGGGGGATGAATTAATATTAATATATGGGGGATGAATTACTATATGGGGGATGAATTACTATATGATGAAATTACTATATGGGGGATGAAATACTATATGGGGGATGAAATACTATAGGGGGGATGAAATACTATAGGGGGGATGAAATACTATAGGGGGGATGAAATACTATAGGGGGGATGAAATACTATAGGGGGGATGAAATACTATAGGGGGGATGAATTACTATATGGGGGAATTACTATATGGGGGAATGAATACTATGCTTACTATGGGGGAATATTACTATACTTACTATGGATGACACATACACATCATTCATCTACTCTTGGTCTGGCCCCCGGGTCCAATATATGAACCCATTGCGGCCCTCAAGTCAAAAAGTTTGCCCACCCCTGCCTTAGAAGTTCAGAGCTGTCCCATGTCCTCTGCCCAAGTTCAACAGATACATGTGTCAGTTATTAAAAAATGCTTTTTGTAGAGTTTTTAATGGACCTTAAGGGAGCAGATAAATGAAGGTCATTGTTTGATCATTGTTCTGCTGACTGCCACTTTAAGCAGGCTTTGTTTACAGTGACAGTCAACACTTCCTTTGAGCACCTTTTAACCTCACGGTGCTGGAGCTGAAGGATACTTTAACCAAATTTGTTGATGGAGCTTTTTGTTCCTTGTTGAATTGGGAGTATTATATTCCAGGTGACCACATCCATTTTACTTCTATAGGTGCTGACTTATTAAAGATGTCCAAAGAGGATTTCATCCAAGTGTGTGGCCCTGCGGACGGGATCCGACTCTTCAATGCTGTAAAAGGAAGGTAGGTACCTGTGTTGGCAGCCAAGCGACAACAGGCAGTATTAAGGGCGGCTTCCCACTGCCCCGGCGCGGTTCTCGCTGCGCTTTTGGGCGAAATGCAGCCGACCGCGCTTTCCCATAGGCTTCTATGATGTCCTATAGTTTTGATGCCATTTCAGCAGGCTTTGTTTACAGTGACAGTCAACACTTCCTTTGAGCACCTTTTAACCTCGCGGTGCTGGAGCTGAAGGATACTTTAACCTGATTTGTTGATGGAGCTTTTTGTTCCTTGTTGAGTTGTTGGGAGTATTATATTCCAGGTGACCACATCCATCGGGGATCGGGGCTGCTCTGTGCAGCATGTAGGAGTTTTGGTGCACTTTCTGAAACCGCATCAACAGGACCTCATAGGGAGTGTATGGGGAAGCTCAGCTAAAACTGTGGGTTAGCTGCACGTTAGCAAAAGCCCAGCGGGGGCAGTGTCGAGCCGCCCTAAAGGTAGAGTCTTTACTAAGAAAATTGAATGCCAGCAGTGCTGACCTACGCAGGGGCGGACTGACAACTCATGGGGCCCCCGGGCAATAGGGGATCATGGGGTTCCTGTGTCCTTGCCCACACTCAAACCACAACCAAAGCCTATGAAAGGTTCCAGGAGCATCTCATGGGCACCCTACTGACCCCAGGCCCTCGGGCAGTGCCCAAATGGTCAGTCCGCCCCTGGACCTACTGACTAAATTTTTAGTTGTTTAGCGGTCTACGGCTTCAACTCTTTTCTCAGTCGCAGACCTGTAATAAGCAATGGAGAGGAGGAACGTCACAATCAAGAATCGCTAGCTTTCACCTTAAAAACTGTGGGTCTTAGTATATGATCAGTTTACTAAAATCTATGCATTAAGGCGAACTGCTTGTGCGGCAGGATCCCCCCCAGCCCCCCTTATTCTTACCTGAGCCTGATCTGGTCCAGTGATGTGCATGAGAGCAGTGGCTCTCACCAGTCTCCCTATTCACTGGGTAGATTGATAGCAGTTAAAGCCATTGGCTGTCAATTAAATGATGTAATAAGCGAGCGTGGGGCCAAGCAGCCTGCTTTGTGTCAATGGATGCAGATTGGGCAGCTCAGGAGCAAGCCTGCATAGGTGCCCCCATGGAAAGTGGCTTTCCATGGGCACACTAGCTGAAAAGGAAAAGCCTGGTGCAATGATCCCCAGAAGAGGAGGGCCGGGCTGCTCTGTGCAAAACCATTGCATACTTGCCCATTAAAGCGGAACTTTACCCATAGCTTTGAATATAAATAATGTTCTTCAGCAAGGAATATACATTCCACATTACTACCAAAATCAGCATGTGCTGTAAATGGCCCCCGGCATTGTTCCTGTTTCCTCTTGCCCAGAGGCTGTCATTTTGCTGAAGCACAGAGACCCCGAGCAGCAGTAAAACTTTAGGCTGCCAACAGATCGGCCTCTACATTTTTGGCACAGTGCCAAAAAAAAACCCCGCAAATGAGCATATGCAGAGCAGGGAGAGACAACGTATTACTGGATTTTGAACAGGATAAGCCATTTTTTTTTAAATGTTTTACATAGCTATACCTCAAAAGGGCCAGCATGACGTGATCTATCAAGACCTAATCTTCTGACTAAAGTTCCACTTTAAATGGCTCCTTTTTTCCCCTTTGCCATAGGAATGTGAGGCCCAGACTGACTATTTATGTCTGCCATGAATCGGAACAAAACCGCACAAACCTGCAGCACAAACGGGAGCTCAACGACACCTCTGTGTGTGGTAAGCGGTTTTGTTTCTGTAAAGCAAAAACGATTTTAAATTTTGTAAAGGAAAGCGAGTAACGAGCCTCAACCTAAAAGTTTTGGCTTTTCGATGTCCTAGTGGAACTCAAATATGGGTTGGTAAATCCATCTCTAGAGTTACAGAAAGATGTTGTATAACTGCTTTAATCCTGGGGTTATATGACAGGACGTCGGCTCATCACCCTTCACTACATCTATGGTCATTTAAAAAAAAAAAATCTGTAACCTTTTATCAGAGCGTTGCAATTCTTCCATTTGTAGGGTTTCCACACCATCTCGCTTTAAAGTTCTTGCTTGTTGGCAATAATCTCAACCACACATTAAAAATCTTTCACCTAACCTTCCTTCCCCCTTCCTTTTTTTTTATTTTTTTCTCCTTCCTTCTCCTTCCCCCTCTCTTCTCCTCCTTGCCCTTCCCATTCCCCCTCTTCTCCTTTTTTGCCCTTCCCATTCCCCCTCTTTTTCTCCTTCTTGCCCTTCCCATTCCCCCCCTATTCTCCTTCTTGCCCTTCCCATTCCCCCTCTCTTCTCCTTCTTGCCCTTCCCATTCCCCCTCTCTTCTCCTTCTTGCCCTTCCCATTCCCCCTCTCTTCTCCTTCTTGCCCTTCCCATTCCCCCTCTCTTCTCCTCCTTGCCCTTCCCATTCCCCCTCTCTTCTCCTCCTTGCCCTTTCCTTCCCTCCCTTTCCCCTCTCTTCCTTCTCCTCCTTGCCCCTTCCTTCCCTCCCTTTCCCCTTCCTTCCCTCCCTTTCCCCTCTCTTCCTTCTACTCCTTGCCCCTTCCCTCCCTTTCCCCTCTCTTCCTTCTACTACTCCTTGCCCCTTCCTTCCCTCCCTTTCCCCTCTCTTCCTTCTACTCCTTGCCCCTTCCTTCCCTCCCTTTCCCCTCTCTTCCTTCTCCTCCTTGCCCTTTCCTTCCCTCCCTTTCCCCTCTCTTCCTTCTCCTCCTTTGTCCTTTCCTGCCCTTTCCTTCCCTCTCCTCCTTTGTCCTTTCCTTCCCTCTCTTCCTTCTCCTCCTTTGTCCTTTCCTTCCCTCTCTTCCTTCTCCTCCTTGCTCTTTCCTTCCCTCCCTTTCCTTCCCTCTCTTCCTTCTCCTCCTTGCCCTTTCCTTCCCGCCCTTTTCCTTCCCTCTCTTCCTTCTCCTCCTTTGTCCTTTCCTTCCCTCTCTTCCTTCTCCTCCTTGCCCTTTCCTTCCCTCCCTTTCCTTCCCTCTCTTCCTTCTCCTCCTTCCCCCTCTCTGCTCTTCCTTCCCCCTCTCTGCTCTTCTTCCCCCTCTCTCTGCTCTCTTCCTTCCCCCTCTCTGCTCTTCCCCCTCTCTGCCTTCTCTCCCTCTCTGCTCTTCCTTCCCCCTCTCTGCTCTTCCTTCCCCCCTCTGCTCTTCCTCTCTCTGCTCTTCCTTCCCCCTCTCTGCTCTTCCTTCGCCCTCTCTGCTCTTCCTTCGCCCTCTCTGCTCTTCCTTCGCCCTCTCTGCTCTTCCTTCCCCCTCTCTGCTCTTCCTTCCCCCTCTCTGCTCTTCCTTCCCCCTCTCTGCTCTTCCTTCCCCCTCTCTGCTCTTCCTTCCCCCTCTCTGCTCTTCCCCCTCCCCCTCTCTGCTCTTCCTTCCCCCTCTCTGCTCTTCCTTCCCCCTCTCTGCTCTTCCTTCCCCCTCTCTGCTCTTCCTTCCCTTTTTTGCCCTTTTGCCCTTTTCCCCTTGCCCCCCTTTTCCCTTGCCCTTTTCCCCTCTTTCCCCCTTGCCCCCCCTTGCCCTTTTCTCCCCTCGCCCTGTTCCCCTCGCCCTGTTCCCCTCGCCCTGTTCCCCTCTTTCCCCTCGCCCTTTGTTCCCTCTTTATTGCCTTAGATGCTACTAGTTTAAATGTGCCCATTGGTTCAGTGACCCATATCATTAATACAACTGGACTGGACTTTTCGCTGGACTGCTCTGGAGGCATAAATGAATGTGTCCTTGAAGCACCTTGAAACAAGCATCAGTAAAGAAAAGGTGCATTTTATTTTTTTCATGTGTACACATATGGGTGTCAGATGTTAGAGTTAAAAAAAAAAAAAACCTCTTTCCCTCTCCCAGGCATATCTTCAACCTCAGGGGACAACCAAACTTGTTTGTCAGGGCTTTCAGCAATTTTACATCTAATTCTAGGGTCTCCGGATCCGGTTCAGCAGGTTTCCCCTGGCACCGTTCATTTCCATAGTTATCCAGTACTGCAGGCAACAAGTTCAGCTCTCCGCTTAAAGGTCCACCCCGGGCCTTGCTTAATTACCCAGGATGGGTCGGAGCCGTGCTAAAGTCCAGAGACGTTCGCTGACCGTACACAACCATATCAATCAGATTACATTATTTGGAGACCTTCGTTCTGTGAATTGATACAAAACAGAAAAATGTGGTTGCATTTGCCCCCCCCCCCCCCCCCCCCCCCCCCCCCAAAAGAATCTCCTATTTTAGTGCAGTTGGTTTCTGAAAGATAATCTTTGGAGGGAATAAATATATATTGGCCAGCATCACATTACAAAGTCAACAAATATTTCTGCCCTGAGATAAACCGTGAACCTAAAAGAGAAGTGTCCTTGCATTGTCCAGAAAATAGGCTGCAAAATTTGTGGATTTTGTAGTTCAAATTGGCAAAAGTGAAGGCAAGCTAGTGGCACCAATTTATCCCCTCAGATCGTTAACCACATAAAGGCTGGCTTTGGATAAATTTGTATTTACACTTTTTTTTTTTTTTTTTTTTTTTTGCAGTTTATCATGCCATCTTCCTGGAGGAGCTGACATCGTTTGAGCTGATTGAGAAGATTGCCAACCTGTACAGCATCTCCCCTCAACAGATAAACCAGATCTATAAGCAGGGACCTACTGGGATCCACGTGGTGGTCAGCACGGAGGTGTGTATGGCTTCCTGTTGTCAATCACCACCACTATCCTTAGTACAGCTAGGGGTAGCTTCCTTTTAAATTGGTGGCCTGCAAACTGAAGCCCTTTACTTGCCTTCATCTGGCCCTTGGGGCACTATTCCTCCCACTGACCCCAACAATGGGGTACTAGTCTTTCCGTTGACCCCAACAATGGGGTACTAGTCTTTCCGTTGACCCCAGCCATGGGGTGCTAGTCCTCCCGTTGACCCCAACCATGGGGTGCTAGTCCTCCCGTTGACCCCAACCATGGGGTGCTAGTCCTCCCCGTTGACCCCAACCATGGGGTGCTAGTCCTCCCGTTGACCCCAACCATGGGGTGCTAGTCCTCCCGTTGACCCCAACCATGGGGTGCTAGTCCTCCCGTTGACCCCAACCATGGGGTGCTAGTCCTCCCGTTGACCCCAACCATGGGGTGCTAGTCCTCCCGTTGACCCCAACCATGGGGTGCTAGTCCTCCCCGTTGACCCCAACCATGGGGTGCTAGTCCTCCGGTTGACCCCAACAGTGGCAGGGGCCGCCAGTCCTCCGGTTGACCCCAACAGTGGCAGGGGCCGCCAGTCCTCCGGTTGACCCCAACAGTGGCAGGGGCCGCCAGTCCTCCGGTTGACCCCAACAGTGGCAGGGGCCGCCAGTCCTCCGGTTGACCCCAACAGTGGCAGGGGCCGCCAGTCCTCCGGTTGACCCCAACAGTGGCAGGGGCCGCCAGTCCTCCGGTTGACCCCAACAGTGGCAGGGGCCGCCAGTCCTCCGGTTGACCCCAACAGTGGCAGGGGCCGCCAGTCCTCCGGTTGACCCCAACAGTGGCAGGGGCCGCCAGTCCTCCGGTTGACCCCAACAGTGGCAGGGGCCGCCAGTCCTCCGGTTGACCCCAACAGTGGCAGGGGCCGCCAGTCCTCCGGTTGACCCCAACAGTGGCAGGGGCCATCATTTACCAATATTAGAAGCAAAAGGATTAAAAATAGTCCATGTTGATTGAGAGAGTGAAGATGCGCTTTAAGGAGCTTACAATCAAAGGTCCCTATTTTATATACATACAGTGCCTTGAAAAAGTATTCATACCCTTTGAAATGTTCCCCATGGTTGTCAAGTTACATCCAAAACAGTCAATGTATTTTATTGGGATTGGATATGATAGACCAACACAAAAGGGCACATAATTGTGAAGTGGAAGGAAAATGAGAAATGGTTTTTAATGTTTTTTTTTTTTTTTTTTTTTTTTTTTTTTTTAAATGTTTGACACCCCTTTGGTTAGAGCTGCACAGTTTTTATCTAGACACCCCTTACCTGCAACCAACTCCTGGCCCTTTAAGAGGTTCTAAATACCGGGAGGCGGGCATTCCGACCATATGAACACTGTGATTGGCTGAAAGCCAGTGAGGGAAAAAAACAAGACGCCACTCAAACCAGCCCAATAATTCCGATCTATGAGATGGCCTGAACTGCAGCTCCGGCCACACCCTCTGATGGGTGAATCTTGTGACTTGTTGGCCATAAGATGAGAATATTCTTTGCATTGATGGACGAGCCGTCATTGTGATTAATTACTTTCTGTATTACACTAAAAGGTCTGTCGGGCCATGTGAGAAAAATATCACAGCTTCGGGGGGGGGGAGGAGTGAGAAGTGTGAAAATGTCATCATGTGCCAGAAGCATCCACATTTCACCTGTCATATCCTAAGGCAGCTACACAGATGAAAGCAAGCATCGTGCTGCTGGGGGCAGAACCAATATTGTCACTTTCCATCATTTGTAAATGTGAGGTTTAAAAAGCTGAATTGGGATCCTTGTATCCTTTTTTTGTGCACAGATTATTTTTGGTACATATGAAGTAAAGTATACGCCATTTCATATTAACCCTCCAGCCAGCAGGTGGCGATCTAGTAGTCATTTCACATGTTATGCCGTGTCCGCTCTCCCCCCGGGGCCCGGCGTTCGCCGTGTCCGCTCTCCCCCCGGGGGCCCGGCGTTCGCCGTGTCCGCTCTCCCCCCCGGGGCCCGGCGTTCGCCGTGTCCGCTCTCCCCCCCCCGGGGCCCGGCGTTCGCCGTGTCCGCTCTCCCCCCGGGGCCCGGCGTTCGCCGTGTCCGCTCTCCCCCCGGGGCCCGGCGTTCGCCGTGTCCGCTCTCCCCCCGGGGCCCGGCGTTCGCCGTGTCCGCTCTCCCCCCGGGGCCCGGCGTTCGCCGTGTCCGCTCTCCCCCCGGGGCCCGGCGTTCGCCGTGTCCGCTCTCCCCCCGGGGGCCCGGCGTTCGCCGTGTCCGCTCTCCCCCCGGGGCCCGGCGTTCGCCGTGTCCGCTCTCCCCCCGGGGCCCGGCGTTTGCTGTGCCCGATCCCCCCCAGCACACACAACATGGAAATTATTTCAATAAATATAAACTGCTAAATACCTTTTTCTCATCGACAGTATATAGCAGTCTTGTGACTGTTGTCTGACATTGCCAATTGGCCCCGTGCTGATCACATCCACTCTCCCAAGAGAAAAAAAACCTCTTTAGCAATACACACCAAACAAAAATCCATGAACAAAAATTAGCTGTATGGCCGAGTTGCCAGAAAGAAGCTTTTACTGTGCCAATGCCACAAAAAAGCCCGGTGAGGCGTGTCAAGTTGGCATATTGTAACCAGGCTTTTTTGTGGAGCAGTCCCACAATGGCAGTGCTTATATTTCCTCCCCTGTCGGGGTGTTTTTGCCGTTTTCTTCATGGGTGCGTCCCTGTCTTGAAAGATTTAATAATCGCCATTCTGTTCCTTTCAGATGGTTCAGAACTTCCAGGATGAATCTTGCTTTGTTATCGGCACTCTAAAAGGTAGGTTGGATTTGGGGGGGGGGGGGGGAGGAGTATTTGTATCTAAACCTTGTTTCTGTGAAAAAACAAAAAAATCGCTCTTTTGTGATGGGTCGAACCCCCATATTCACCATACATTCATTGATGAGTCATTCACCTAATATATAACCCAAGAGAGTGAATAAAAAGCAGATATTCCTCCGCCGGCACCTATAATACATAGGAAGATATTTCATGAACTGCACTTTTTTTTTTTTTTTTTTTTTTTTTTTGTCCTTGTTTTGTCTTGTCTTTGTCTTTGTTTTTTTTTGTCTTTGTTTTTTTGTCTTTGTTTTTTTGTCTTTGTTTTTTTGTTTTTGTTTTTTTTTTGTCTTTGTTTTTTTTTGTCTTTGTTTTTTTGTCTTTGTTTTTTGTCTTTGTTTTTTTTTTTTTGGTCTTTGTTTTTGTGTTTTTTTTTTTTTTTTTTTGGGGGGGGGGTTTGTTTTTTTTGAGGTGTCACATGTCTGGGTTGTGTTAGCGTCTCACCTGTTGCAAGGAAAGGAGATAAACATGTCAATGAGTTGTATTTAGGACTTTATGAAATTCTTTTTTTAAAAAAAAAAAAAAAAAAAAAAGCTGAACTTTCACTCGCAATGCCTCCTGGGACTTTGGCAAAAGCTGGAGGGCTGCCAGTTTTACAGTCGTGAAGGGAGGGGGGGGAGGTACGTTTAGTTAAATTTGAGTCAGGCCTGGACATGTATTAATTTTTCTAGAAAATGTTTGAGAAAAATTAATGGTTCTGTGTGCATTTTGTGTTTTTTTCTCCTAGCCGAGAACGGTTCTGGATATCACATCATTCTTAAATGAAACGACTGAATTTGCACAAGATTATTTTGGACCATCCGCAGTAGAGTATTACACGGCCAGTGAACAAAAAAAAGAAGGCCCCGTGTAAAATTTCTGTAGAAGAGGAATTTTGAAATCAAGGAAAAAAAAAAAAAAAAAAATTGTTTCTCAGCGAGCCTCTGTCCAGGATCCATCGATCGCGGTTTTTTTTTGAGCTGTACCGGTTCATCTGTAAATATTTCTATGCCAGTCTTGTATGCGCTCAAAGTCCAGCGTCTGGAACATGTGCGATAATGTAAATATTAGAATATCCAAAGCCTTCTCAGCGCTGGAGAGTCCTGTGAAAACATTGCCTCATGAGAAATATTTCATGGTTTCTGCGATTATCACTGAAACAAATTTTTACAGCGGCCTATATATATATTAAAAATGTAAAAAAATAAATAAATTTTATATATATAAAAAAAAAAAAAAAATCAGGCTGGTAGGAACTGAGGTTTTTAAATGTAATTTGTATTTTTTTTTTTTTTTTTTTCTTGAATGTCCCAGTTGGGACTTATTCCAACAGCCTGATTTTTATTTGTATATATCAGAACTGATCAATTTTCAAATATATATATATATATATATATATATATATATATATATATATATATATATATATATATAATAAAAAAAATCAGGCTGGTAGGAACTGAGGTTTTTAAACTTAAATTTTTTTTTTTTTTTTTTTAATGTCCCAGTTGGGACTCACTCCAACAGCCTGATTTTTATTTGTATATATCAGAACTGATCAATGTTCACATTATATATATATATATATATATATATATATATATATATATATATATATATATATATATATATATATATATATATATATATATATATATTAAAAATCAGGCTGGTAGGAACTGAGGTTTTTAAATTAGAAGAAAAAAAAAGAATACAAAATTAAATTTAAAAACCTCAGTTCCTACCAGCCTGATTTTTTATTTTTTATATATATATTTGAAAATTGATCAGTTCTGAAATATATAAATAAAAATCGGGCTGGTAGGAATGAGTCCCAACTGGGACACTAAAAAAAACAAAAAAAAAAAACAAACAAAATTAAATGTCCCAGTTGGGACTCATTCCTACCAGCCTGATTTTTATTTATATATATCAGAACTGATCAATTTGCAAATATATATATTAAAATAAAAAATCAGGCTGGTAGGAACTAAGGTTTTTAAATTAAATTTTTGTACTTTTTTTTTTTTTTTTTTTTTTTTTTTTTAATCTCATGGAAAGGTTGCCTTGTGAAGTCCTGCTCGATGGTCTGTTACATCAGAGTAACCATGACCTCCCAAGGCTGACCTTTTTTTTTTTTTTTTTTTTATTACATAAAAACCGGAACCAAGGTAGGCGGTAGTTGCCCACAGCAACCGTTTTTTGAGGCTAAACCAGGTAAAATATAATTCAGAAAATATGGCTGCCTGTGGCAGACCCCTCCTTGGCTCCAGCTTTTCCTGAAACGGCCTAAAGACACTAACCGAATATGGAATGTAGATATGCGATTTTATGAAGTTGTAGAATTCATGCACTGTGCAAGCTAGTTACATGTAAATATGTAGCAAAGAAGTGGCCTTTTGTGGAGAAGAACTTCAGGTTCCCAAGATCTCGGGATCGGAGTGGAGAGTGCGTGCAAAAAAAAAATGTGCATTGGGCAGCAAGGCAAAAAAGCTGCTGCACTTCGCTGATCCCAGTTGTTGTAAAACTTTATTGTTCCAGACATTACATAGACAAGGGCTGCCCAGACCTGTCTCCGTACGTGGAGTGCGGGCGGCATTTTTGCTTTGTATGCGCTGGAGGAGGGGGAAGAGCCCCTTCCGGCTGGCACCAGGAAGGTGTAGACGTGCAGCGGTGGCATTTACCCCTCACTGTCTTTGCGTTTGGCAGTGGCACAGGGTGTAAGACCTCGTTCGCATGGGACATACTACAGCATATACCTGTACGGGGCTCGGTTTACCTACGTGGGGATGTACAGGTGCTCTTCCAGCTTTTTGCATACATGTAAAGCTGCGTTTTACCCTTGCCACGCCCAGCCCAATGCATGTATGTGTAGCATAGCCTCAGCCAGCACGGCTCCTCCGCTCACGTCTCCAACGCGTTTCGTCCTGGCCATTGGGGCTTAGTCAAAAGGTGCGGAGGGGTGAAACGCTTTTGAGGGTGGCCAGTGGAGTAAAGCTGGCTTAGGGCATCTTATACATACATGCATCAGGCTGGGCGAAGAGCAACCTTTGGGGCCGCAGGTGCAGGGCCCCAAACGCAGACAGTACTCCACACGTAGATATGTCAGATTGGGAGCAGTGTCTGTGTAGCCTCCGAAACCTTGTAGTGCCGCTTCAAGCCTGAGACCCTGTAGTGCCGCTTCAAGCCCGAGACCTTGTAGTGCCGCTTCAAGCCCAAGGTATGATACTGCCCGCTGGAACTCGGGAAAACGGGGTGCTATCCAGAAGTTTCGGTATCTGTGTAGAAGATGTAGGATGCTCCTCGCCCAGCCTGATGCAAGTATGTATAAGATGCCCTAAGCTAGCTTTACTCCACTGGCCACCCACCAATGCGTTTCATCCCGCCGCACCTCTGACTAAGCCCCAATGGGCAGGACGAAACACGTTAGGGGCGTGAATGGTGGAGCAGTGCTCTGAGGCTCTACTACACATACATGCATTGGTGTGGCAAGGGTAAAACATAGCTTTACATGTGTACAAAAAGCTGGAAGAGCCGGCAACTCCAACTCAGTGATACAGAAGAGACCTAAAACCCCACTGACGCGTTTCAGCAAGTAGCCTTCATCACAGCGTGGTGGTATGGCATATGCTGTATTATGTTTTTTTGTGTGAATGAGGCCTACGCGTGCCAGGACCCGAATGTTGGAAGGTTCCAGACTGGACCATAGATAGAAGAGTCAAGCACATTGTAAGACTTTGCTCCGCCCTAGAGGAGCCTTTTGTTCCTGAAGTTCTTTGAAGCAGAAAAGTGCCCTTTCTATAAGCTTTTATGTTTTGTTTTGTTTCTTTATGCACAAATGATGCATTGTAGCAGGTAATGAGAGCCTGCTTTCACCAAAAAAAGAAAAAAAAAAATTGCAGTTGCTACAACTTAGTTACTCCACCTTTTTAATGTTGTATTAGTTGCTTTCGTTGTCCGTTTTTTTTTTGCGTTGGTAACGATCGGCGAGATTGAAGTGCCGCCAGCACTTTACGAATCTGGTCTCCCCGGAGTGCAGTGCGGTCTATCAGGGAAGCAATGTTACCAGTTCCTTCTAAATACTGAGGGATCGGCTCACACCTCAAGTAGACCTAAAATGCGGAAACGCTGTGTTATGGTGCGATTCATTTGTAACAAAAATACAATTGGGGGGGGTTCATTCCTGTGCGACAGAATCACCCTCGCCAACAGCGGCCTTACCCTGGCTAGGGATTCCTAAGGAAACTGAAGATGCAGAGATCCAAAACCATAATTTCGGGAACGCTGCTCAGGTTGGGCCGCTTTGTTTTCTGGGCAACGCGAAGCCGATCTGTCGTCCATTAACCCCTCACCTGTCACAGCGCCCTCTGCTGGGCACAGACCAACACTGTTAAATTGCCCATTAAGAGCACTTACCTGTGAGACCGCGCAATTCCCCTCAATTTCCTTCAATTGATTACTGGTGGGAAGTGACTGCAGTGGTGGTGGTGGCGGGGAAAGTAGCTATGGTGATGGGTAATTTGCGTCTTTAACAAAAAAAAAAAGCTATAAAATAATGGAGCCTCTGAATTTGTAGCCTTTTGTGAAGTGTTTTGTTGTCTTTATTTCCTCTTTCTGCCATTATAATGATTTTTAGAAAACTTTCTACCAGGGGCAGACTGACAACCTATGGGGCCCCCGGGCAATAGGGGATTATGGGACCTCTGTGTCCTTGTCCAAACTCAAAATAGCCTATGAAAAGGGTACCAGGGGCATCTCATGGGGCCCCCTACTGACCTCGGGCAGTGCCCGAGTTTCCAAATGGTCAGTCCGCCCCTGCTGTCTACTTTGGATGAGATCGAAGCTCAGCAGGACTGAGTGCAAATGCTGGGGGGAGGGATTTTCATTCTAAAGGGCCTGTATATAAAGGTTAGAATTTTTTTTGTTTGTTTTTTTTTTTTATAAAATTTTCAAGGAAAGTGAACTGGTCTCAGGCCTGATTCTGTTCCAATGAGCACAGGGCTTGGATTCGCAAAAAAATTCATTTATTAGCCCGGGTTCACAAACATGGGGTGCGGTATATCGCGTGTGATTTGCACAAGAACCTTACCGCATTCCTGTGCGAATTGCATGCGATTTGTGTGCGGTGCGATCGGAGTCGTACATTTAGTATGGCTCTAACGGCACCAAAAACGGGCAGGACCCTTTAGGACCCTTTTTTCCGAGTCCACACTAGAATCGGATCGCACGGGTATTAACACTCATGTGATCCGATTCTGCACATCGCAGACCGCTTTCAGGGTGTTAACTTGACCTACACACCCGCAGCGGTTCGCATGAACGGGGTGCGATTGTGATGCGTTGCGGAATTCGCACTGAAAACGCCACATCACTGTGAACCCGGGGCTGAAAGTGGAACTGAACTAAAAACACGAAATCCCCTTTTTTACAGGGATCATTTAAAAATGTATATTGTTAAAGTGTTACTAAACCCACAAGAGTACAATCAGTCTGTAGATGCAGGAAATCATGCTTGTTATACTCACTGAGGAACCTAAGGGGTTAATCCTCCGCATTGTGTAAAAATGCTGTTTGATCCTGTCTTCTCTGATCCTCCTCCTTGCAGTGCCCCCCTCTTATCGCCTGATAAGACATCTCTGCACATGCTCAGTTTGGTGTGTGTTGCTAGAGAGGTTTTTTTTCTTGGGAGAGTGCATGTGATCAGCACTGGGCCAATCATCACTGTCCAGACAGAGTTCAGGGATCCTGCATCCTCCTAGAGCAGAAAGAAAACTCCTTCAAGCTTT